GAATTTCTTGGATAATTGCCTGATTCCAGGTTTGGAAAGGAAATGTTAAAGATGAGCCTGTTATATTTGGTCACATCAATTATCCTGGAAGCTCTCAAAAACTGGAGGTTCTTTCAAAAACACAGAGGAACCAACTGAGATAAACTTTGAGTACTCAGAGATGTGGCAAACTGGGCGTTCATAAGTATGATATCTGCAATAGCTTGAAGCATATTAATGTTCATAATGAAATTTTTAAAACCATTGGTAAACTTTAGAGGATGTTAAGGAACCACACACTATATTAAGAACTGATAAAGGGAGAGAATCAAGCATCCATCCTGATTTTCTTATAAAAATTGAAACTCTAGCAAACTAGTTTATCTTTATAGAAGCATTCCACTCAATAAATAAACCAGAAATGACAGTTATATTGCCGTTTCAAGCTCTAAGGAATAAATAGACGTAGGCAACGATCAACTCCAACTGATAATATCACAAAAAGAGAAAGAGCCAGTAGTCTTGCCCCCCATCCCCTAAATGAATTTGATCAAGTCTTCACTACTCATTAACAGGTAAGAAACAGGGCTGAGGAGCTCATTAAATGACTCTGCAGCAATGCATCAGCAAAAGCAGACTATGGAAAGCTCTACAGCACAAACAATCCAGTTTCTTAAGAAACAAGGAAAAATAAACATAAACCTATAGATTAAAAGAGGAGACATATTAACCAATTACAATGTATGGACCTTATTTGTATCCTGCTTAAAATAGTAAAGAATACAAAACTTTAGGAGACAACCAGAAAATGTTGAATATTGGTTTTGTATATTTGAGAATAGTAAGAAAATGTTGACTTTTTAAGTGTGGTTAATTTTCTAGATGTGGTTCATTTTTAAGTTTAAAAGAATCTTAATCTTTTAAAGATAAAGACTGAAATGTTACCAGATAAAATGATGTCATGTCTGGGATTCGCTTCAAAATAATTTGAGGTGGAAGTGGAAAGTGGAAACAACAATTATGAAACAAGCTGACCCATGAGATGATAACTGTCAAAGGTAGGTATGGTTATATAAAATTTCATTGCCGTTTTCCCTCTACTTTTCTAATATATTCTTAATTTTCATAACAAAAAGTTAAATACACTTAAAAGTAGACAAATACATACTAATTTGAGGTGATGGTTAAGGACTCAGAAGTTACAGTCCATGTGTCTGAATGAAGGTAGTTTCTCAAACATGCAGATATCAGAGATTTGTAGGATTCTCTCCATGGAGAACCTTGTTTTCTCCACACAGAACACTGGTTTCTGAGCAAGCGTGGGCCCTTTTTCTGAAAACAGATCAGGGAATATGAAAGCGGTTGGCTACTTAACTGAAGATACCAAAAGGAAAAAAAATAGGACACCAAAAAACTGGGTCTACAAATGTGGTTGTTGGTTCTCCTTGTTTGTTTCAAATAAGGCTTGGTTTAGGAGCAGTCAAATAAAGCATGTGACTGCTATACTTCCAACAGTATCTTTGCAAATAAACACAACCCATACAATTCAACTGTCCATCCCACTTTTCCTGTTTGTTTATTGCTCTTCAACAGCACCTCATGCTTTTTAATTTTTTCATTCTAAGGCAAGGGAAAGGGATCTCTAGAGAAGTTTAAAAAGTTTTCTGAAGTCAAATAATTCATTAGAAAGTGTGTTTTATGCAGAATCCTACTGTTTTGCTGCAGAAGGAACACTGAGTAGCTTTTCCAAGGTTCTGCCAAAGGAAGTCTCTTGTCTCACACTCATCTGAATCCAATCCTTCCAAAAGAACATGCCCAGGTCTAATAAATGGAGTTCCTAAAAGGATGGATGTCTCCCATTTAAAAAAGCATTTCCCAGAGTCTCTAGGGTTCAATGTCCTACAAATAATCAGCATTCAAAATATGAATTTACTGACTTTTAAAATCTATGCAAATTTAAAAATTTCAATATTATTTTACAGTCAATTATCCCATCTATAATATTACCGTCTAGCATTATAATAAAAGTATCATCACAAATGCTAATGATCAATTTCACTAAATGCCTGAAAAGGTCATGGGAGATTTAAACTCTGATGTGTGCTTTGGAGGAGAGTCAACTTTTGGAGAAACAAGGCTAGGGAGCACTTTTTGAGACCGATTACATTTTTGGAATTACTTGCCAAGTTGTATTGCAGAAATAGTAACAAAACTTTTTCGTTTTCTTTTCTTTCTTTCTTTCTTTTTTTTTTTAGATGGAGTTTTACTCTTGCTGCCCAGGCTAGAGTACAATGGCATGGTCTCAGCTCACTGGAACCTCCACCTCCCGGGTTCAAGCGATATTCTTGCCTCAGCCTCCCAAGCAGCTGCGATTACAGACGCCTGCCACCACGCCCAGCTAATTTTGTATTTTCAGTAGAGCTAGGGTTTCACCAATATTGGTCAGGCTGGTTTTGAACTACTGACCTCAGATGATCCACTCACCTTGGCCTCCCAAAGTGCTGAGATTACAGTCATGAGCCACTATGCCCAGCCAATTATAACTAAACTTTAAAAAATATTTGTCCCCATAGCTAGAATTTTCATTAGTGTATTTATCTTTTTCATGTAGTCTTGTTTACAATGGGCCATTTTAAAAGTTGCTATCCCAGGCTTATAAAGCAATTTTATGATGTACTCCTATCGACCATATGAAAAGCATTCATCTCTGAGAAAGTATCATAAAGAAATCCTACTGTAATGATAACTCAAATGTTAAAGTAAACATTAAAAATTATATTGTATGACAGAATATCAAAGGAAATAGAAAATCTCTGCAAGAGGGTATTTAATTTCTGATGAAAACAAAATAGTACTCTTTACAATTTGGCCTATCACATGACAGTATTTCTCAAACTCCTGCTAAATTAATGTTGGAGCACAGTTCTTCAGGCATTAATGATTTTAGTTATGGTCAATGGTAGTTGATATAACTGATAGTGATATCAAATCTGTACATATTTGACTCTCTCCACATTTCCAAGCGATCTAGACCAGAACTAGGTTGATTATATGGTAGCCGCTAGTTACATGTGGGCTATTTATATTTAAATTAATTAAATGTAAATAAAATTCAAAATTAAGTTTCTTTGTTGCACTAGCCATGTTTCAAGTACACTCAATAGCCACATATGGCTAGTGAGTACCATATTGGATGGTGCAACTATGGAACATGTCCATTATCACAGAAAGTTCTACTGAACAAAGTTGGTCTACATTAGAGAGGCTACTACCGATGAATGGAAAATCTCAAATATATACATAAATGTGTATATATACATATATATAATCTATTTCTATAGCAATTTTCCTTTTGTTATAGGAGGTTTCATTAAATATGTCAAATTTAAATTTTTTTCTGGAAACATTTATATTTTAATGTAAACAGTTAAAATTGTGCCTTGAGCACTGTACTACAGATTTTCATTTTCCTTGTATTACAAGGATAATGAATTTCAAAAGATTTCATTTTCTCAGGATAGCGAATTATAACATTACTTTGTCTTCTCCTTCAAATCTTTCTTTATAAACATCTATTCTAAGCCCTCTCTGCTTCCAACTTTACTCAGCAAAAGCCTACCTTTGTTATGCAGCAAGGAATTCCTACTTTAGAAGGTAGCACTTCTGGCCTCAACCTCCACATTTGTGAAGTTTATAAGTTACATAAAAAATTCAGTTCCTAGCCAAGTCTTCTTATTGGGTGAGGAGGCCCTTCCAAAGTTCCAGCGAATTCCTTAGTCTGACACAACTTTTCTCAATTTAGAAAGATGCGTTAGGTAACATATATTAAAAGGCAGAAATATGCAAATGCATAAACAATAGAATTTGGCATAATTATGTGATAAAGTGAAATGTTCCTGCAGTTAGTTATTGAACATGAAGGATCTCTCTCATTCTTCAGAGAAACTGTGAGATAATCTCTACCATTTATGCTTAGCAAGGAGCCATACTGCGGAGGAAAAGTAGAAATACACACGAGTGACAAAAGCAAAAAAATATATATATGAAAAACTCTCAAACCACCCTCGATGAAATGTAATATGTCTGTATTTAAAGACTAGGTAAATCATACAGTGAATTTAGAAGGTAAAAAACGATGTCTATAATTACATAAGTATATAGAAAATGTTAAGTATTTTGTGAAAAGGTATGTAAACAATAATGAAAAATCATTTCATATTGAAAATAATTTAATTTTAAAAGTAGATAGTACAAATACAAAAATAAAAATAAAAATAAAGTCCAAGTAAGGAAATAGTAGAAATTTCAAATATTTTAGGAATGTCTTTCTCCAGAGTAGCATGTTGTTTAGAAACTAAATTTCCACAGTAGATTTCAAAACTCCTGAACATGAATTAGAACCTTGATACTAGCTGCAGAAATGTACATTAGTTTTGGGGAAGGGGAGAAATAAAATAATGTGCCAACCTCCCAACCATTTCCCCAAACAGATTTTTGCATCTTGGTCATTACACTTACTTTCAAGATACTTTTCTTGGTTTAAATATGTAATCTTGTCTCTTTGCTCACTTGCTCACTCTTCAAGCAAGCCTACAGCCAAATAAATTGCCATAAATGTTTACCAGTAAACCATTATTTTCCAAGGAATTTTTTCTTAATTTTTTAAATTTAACAAGTTTAACTACAATTAAGAAAGTACTCCTGGCACAAGGACTTTGAAACATTGTTTGGGTCTTGGAAAAGTTTGAAACTTCCAATTCATTAGGACTTTGAGTAGCTATTTTGTACCTAAGAATGAGAATTGATGGAGAGATTGGGACTAAACACATAATTTTATGAAATATGATGAAAACATGAGAGTTTTGGTATGACGCACGTAACGATCAAGAACCTGTTTCTTTTTAGCAGGCTCCTAAAAAGTACCTCCCTTATAATTACTAAATAAAAACACTCACTTATTCAGTACTCAGCTAGCTTTTAAAATCTGAATAACAGAAGTACACAGTGAGAGAGGTACTTACATGGTTTCCTTGGATACTGGATGATGCCATTCAGGTCTATGTTTTTATCTGAAAGTGGTGCCCTGTGGAGAAATGAGGCTTGGTGAGTGGCTGTTTATGCATAGTAAGTAAATAGGAACTTTGTTTATTTTACAAAGCATTTTTTATTTTGACCCAGCTTTCCTTTTCTATCACACCCAACTCCTGTAAACAGCAATAATATAGTAGAACAGGTACTCCATACAACTCTTTTTAACTCCACTTAAGAAATCATAATTATTAAGGCAGAAGTTCAGAATGCTTTGGCTAAGGATGTTACTCCTTGGACTGCTGTATATATCTTAACTATTTTATTTATGTCAGACATATTCATGAATATTGCTTGCCTCTCTATTTTCCTCAAAAGGAATATTTCTCAAACCACTAATAAAGAAATTAGTCTAAAACATTCACATAAATGATAAATGTCCTTACCTTAACCAAAAGATAAGAGCACTCAAGCTTTAGCCAGTTTCTAAACATGAAGGGATTGCACAGACCTTAGCTGCCATTTTACATGTTCTAGTGGCATCCTAGATTCCCAATGGTTTTAGTGCTATGAGCATATAATTTTGACATCCAGTCCCTCAGAACTACACACATTCTAATTTTGGTAGCATGATTAATCTCTCCTCTGTGATAAGTTATTTAACCTTCTAATATTTCTTAGAATCGAAAAGAACAAATGAGTTGCAGCAAAGAATGGCAAATAACTTTAATGCTTAACACAATTTAATAACCTGAAATGAAGTAAGTATGTGCTACGTTTCCATTAAAAAGTTTCCAGCCACAATTAATTGAACGAAAACTTGTCTTGTTCCAAGATTATTCTTGGAAATGTAATTTTAAAATCTGCTTGAAATGAGGAAACTTACTTTTTTATACCATATGAAAGCAATTTCATTTTTTAGGAATGATTTTTGGATAGACTTCCGATTGGATATTTTCCATTGGAACTAGCAGCATAGGGGGTCGGGAGGGGGGAGGGGAGGGAAGCAATTCTGTGTTCTTTCGCCAGCACTGACAAAGGTCTGGTTGTCAGTGATACCTTTACAGCTAAATTTACTCCAGAGTGACAGAAACAGGTGCACCTCGGCCTGCCAGACACTTGTGCAGAGAGATCACGCATCTCACGGCTTGACGATCAAGGGGGCAAAGCCTCGGTCTTCATAGAAAAGGAGAGGAGGCAAACGCAGCCCAAACTGGGGGGTTTCTCTTCAAAGCCAGCTGGTCTGGCTTTATTCTACAGGAATTTTTTTACCTGTCAGGATTTGGACAACAAAGCCCTCAGCAGGTGCTGACGGGTACAACTTCCTGGAGAAGCAGAAAGGCACTGGTGAGTTTCAATTGCCAAAATATATTTTTTAATCTCTAAAAGTTAATTTTGTTGTCTTGAAAGAGGCACCACTGAGGTACCTGTGTTCACAAAGTTGATGAGACCATTGGAATCAGAGCCAACTCACTCAACAGTGGATTTGCCTGGTGTGAAAGTAAAGCTGTTAGCATATAATAATTTTTTAGTTTTTTTTCTTTTTTAGGTTTTAAAAAAGATTCCATTTTTAAATATTGGTCTCTTTCATTACTGTTTTCAATCTTTGGAAGATGAAGAGTTAATTACATTTATAATGTTACATGATTTAACACATATTTTAGTCTTCTTTTATCTAATTATCTAATTCTGTCATAATCTTTTCTGAATAAAAAGCTATTTTCTAATAAATCTCCCAAATAAAAAGGTGCAATGGTGGTACACACTGTTTTCGAAAATTACATGTACTGGCTTTTTAAAATGTGTGCATGCTACAAGAACATGAATAGAGAGAATACGCAATTAACTTTATTTTAATATATTTTTAAAACATATATTGCATGTATAATTAAATAATTTAAAATATATCGCATGTTTAATAATTAAAGTAAATTGTATTATAGTAAATATTATTTAATAATTAAAAGTGGCAATATTTTCTCATTACTTTATAAAGAGTGTCTTTTGAGAAAAATCTTTGAAATTAACAATAAGACAGTATTAAAGCAGGTTTTTACATCATTGATTTCTAAAATTAGTATATTTATATATTTTTTATTTTTATTTTGTGAATTCAAAAGTTTAGGCAAAAATATTTTCTTCAGAATAGGATTTTAATTAATGCAAAACATGAAAAAATGAGACCACATGTTAGGACATATTTTTAAAAAGTGATTCTATTTCAGGGATTCATTCTTTTAACTATGCTTCACAGCATTTTTCTACAAATTGTTGTATTATAGTAAATTGAAAACATTTATTTAAGCAAGTAAGCAGCTCAAAGCTAGAGCCTATACATAGTAAACATATGAAACCATTTTAATAACCAAATTCCATATTCACAAGCAACATGGGCTAATTAATTTAACAGAAACAACAGTATACATTGATCAAGAATGTTATAAATTATTATGCATAAAATCAATTTTCTAGGCTGCGGGGGGTAGAATTGGTGCTTAAGAAAGAAAAGACTCCTACCAACATAAATTACTAATACTATGAGGCAATTGTTTTATTCTGATGATCCCATAAATAACTTTCAATCTACATCCTTAATACATGATTGTATAGTGGAAAAAAATAATGACCGCTGTATCTGAAATAAATTTTAAATCAATGACGATATGGATATGCCACAAATGTATAACTAACACACTCTTTTAAACTGTCGTAATTACTGTTGAAAATTGTGAAATATTTGTGGTTTAAAAAGTTATCAGAACTACTCCACCCAAGCAAAATATCTAATATTTTAAAAACATAATGTTATCCACAAACATTTTAATGAACCCATATTTTAAAACATTAAACCCAAATATACTTTTTATTATAAATTGTTACATGTATGTTATATTTCAAATTATTAAACCATTTAAAAATATGTATGTATTTATTGCGATAAAGCTGCTACTTTCATATATTTTGTCATGCTTCATTATGTTTCATTATATTAATTCAGACACCTGAGTAACTATAGTCGCTAAATTTTTAGAATAACTTCATTAGTCTCTTAAAGAATTAGTATGTATTTCATGCACTTGAAAATTTTACTTTTATTTTTCTAGTCTGTTAAATACTACATTCCTAAACAATCACAATATTTACTTTTAAAGATGATGGCTACTGCAAAACTGAACAACATGTGTTCTTATTTCAACTTCAGAATTATATTTGTTAAGTTTTCACGTGCATTACCATTGGCTATAATTATTACATTGTTATTAAGTATAAGCAAACCAAAAGCTTCTGTCAAACTATTGTTTATGACTCTGTCAATTATTAAAGTATAAATGAATCTACTGGAAATAATGTTAGATATAGCTCAAGTATTTCAAAATAACTAAATTTATCATTTTAACTGTGCCTGAATTGTAGATTTAATCTAAAATCACATTTTTTTTTCTTTTCATTATGAGAAGCTGTAAATTCTTGTCCACCATGCAGCTATGTTTGTCCTTTCTAATAAATCTTCAACATCGTGTCACCAAAAAAAAAAAAAACCTATGCCAACTCCCTCAATATATAGGAATGGTTTATTTTAATAAAATATTGGAGTTTAAAGTAGCATTTATTTACACCTGCTCTAAATATTTAACATTAAAACATAGGCATTTCAAGCATTATTTGCAAGATATCTTCCTATCTTAAAGACAGCTTATTTACAGTGGAGAAAAATTGTTTTCCTGTTTCAGAAAGACACTTGGAAAAACATGTTATTTAACCTTACATATTAATAGGGAAAATCTTGATTCTACCAGTAATTAACTTCAATTAATTATATTTTAAATATCAGCCTATTTAATTTCAATGCAACAAAATTTCCAGCTAAAATGATTTACTTATAAGTATTTAAAGCAACAAAATATTTTGGCAGCTTTATATGTATCTCCTCATTGACCAGCCACCTGACTGACAGCTGTCAACTGTCCATGTGCCAAATGTAACCCAGTAAAGATAAAAATTACATATTACTCATCCCTGTTGATAATACCTGGTGCCAGTAGGTTTCAAATAGGAATAACTAGACTATAGATAAAACACAAGTAAGTGGGAATCATTTCTACTGCCTACTTCTCTTCCCCTGTCATTAACTCATTTCCCCTTCTTTTTCTTATTGATCCCTTTTCCCTTGCTATTCGTATCTACAGAGTTATTTTCCTTAAAGGAACTTTCAGAGTATGTTACAAGTCTGTGTCCATGAAAATACTGGGCAGCCAGGTAATAATGCCCACACATTTCTTTTAGTCCTATTTTTTTTTAAGCTCATAAACTATTTCAGAGTTATGGGAAGAAAGCTTTAAAGCTTTCAGCGTCTCATTTTCAAAGAAAATGAAATCAAATAACAAAAATGAAATTTACCAAAGGTCACCAAGGTGGCTATATAGATACAGACTTGGGTCTGTTTCCCAACTTAATATCCAGTGATTTTTTTTCTAATTAGACTTTAAACATGTTGACTATTAAACTATAAGTAACAATGATCACATGGAAAATTAATGTGAATTACATTCCTTTGAAGAACACTTCTCAGTTACCAAACAATACCTTGTTAGAGAAATACACATTTTTATCACAGCATATTAAAATATAGTTCTAAAAAATACAAAGACTATAAATGTACTAAAACATCTATGGTACAAACATTTTTTATTCGTTTTACCTTTTAAAAGGATTTCCAAACTGGAAATATTTATGAATGTATATGAAATATCAGAAATAAAAAATAATCAAAGGTAATATATATATTTAAAAGATAAATGTAGAAATCAAGAATATAGGTTGAAATATAGGGTTTTAAGATTGAAAGTAATTAAAAACACAAAATATACTAACACATAAGCATATGTATATATTTAAGTGCATAATACATTATATAGTTCATATAACTGACTTAACAACTGACTAGCTTGTCTGTGTGTATATATAACTATCTTATATTAATTCCAAAAGTATTAATTATATTAGTAAATATATCATATTTATATAATTTGTAGATAATATTTGTACAATATATTG